GCTTTTTGATTTCCATTTAAGTTTTCACTTGTTCAAATAAGTGCCAAGATGTTGTGGCTTTGTCATGTGCCAACTTGGCTAAGCAGGTACTACAGATCCTAGAGTTCCCCTCCCTGTATGTTTCTAGTTAGAGTTAGCCCAGGAGAAATTTGCAGGATAGTTGGAAGGCGGAAGTGAAGCAGTAGCCATGTTTGCTCTCAGGAGGTCAGTGTAGGTTCGGCTGTGTTACATCTTGTGCACATTTTCATGGATCTGCTGGTGCACCTTTTTTCTGCGGCAGCAGCCAGGTTTGCAGTTTCAGTTATTACAAGATCTCTTCCTTTAGCTTCTCCAAATCCTAGTCCAGGTGTCAGTGTGGCTTCATGGCAAGAGCACCAACTTCTTCTGCAGGTCACCTAGAGCAGCAAGACTGGAAGCTTGGAGATGCGGAAAGGCCCAAGCAAATACAGCTTGTTCCTCGCAGGTTCTGGTTGCCCTGTTCATGCCTACCTCACTACAGGCTCTCGACCAAATGCAGAAGAAACAACCAGGCTGAAGATGTTTTACCTGTTCCCATAATTGCTTAAGGTCAAATCCCTGTGACAAATTATTATTCTACATAATTCCTAGTGGTTCTGTTTCTCTGACTAAACCCTAATACAGAGTCACGTTTTCCTGACCCCAGGATTTACTTTTAGATTCTACATCCAATTGGTAGAAGAGAAAGAAGAAGCAAGTAGAGGTAAGCTTTCTAATATATAGGACTCACTTATTTTTTCCAACTGAAAAGAAGACAAGAAATTGTGCTTTCACCATTCCATAGGAACACATCTCCAGACTGGATATGGATGGTGGGCCACCAGTTTGCAGTCTCTGATATAGGTGTTTTAGAATCCATCACTTACCTAGATGTTCATGAGTATTCTGATGACTTGGTGAATTTATCCATTTTTATGTGATTTTGGACCCTGTTGCCCCAAGAAAAGTTATACTCCTCAATCGCTCTTGATTTCTATCTAAGTTTTCCCTTGTTCCAATGAGTGCCAAGATGTTGTGATTTTGTAATGTGTCAACTTGTATTAATGTGAAGGTTGGAATTGCTTCAGCCACCTTGTGATCAGGAAGAGAGAAGCCTGAGGACAAACCCAAATGCTAAGGATGGTGAGCAAAAGGATGGAAAGAATGTGGCTTGTAATGTGTCAAACATGTATTAATTGTTTATCTCCATCAAAATGCTATGTAACAAGCCACTGCAAAACTCAGTGGCTCAAAATATGTATAAATTTAACTAATGTGTCTGTGGGTTGGTGATAGCTCAACTGGGCAGTATATCTGGTCTTACCTGGGTTCTTCACAGTTCTGACAATTAGCTGACTTTCAGCCGGTCCAAGATGGCCTTGGTTGAAATGAGTGAGGCAACTCGGCTCTGATCCACATGTCTCTCATCCACCAGCAGGCCATCCTGAGCATGTTCTCATGGTGAACAGAAAGCAAGAGTGAACTACTCCAACCATGGAAGCTCTTTTCAAACCTCTACTTGTGTCATATTCTCCTATATCCTGTTGTCTAAAAGTAAGCCACATAGATGAACCTGTAGGCATAGCACAGCACTGCAAAGTTACATGGCAGAGTGAGTGCGGATACATAGAAAAGTAAAGAGTTGGGGCAGTTTTTGCAATTCATCACAATTACCAATACTCTCTCCTCAGAGGTGATAAGTAACTATGTCAGCTGCTGCTATTTCCAATTGTGCATTGTTAACCCATTGTGTTCAAGCCTTGAGATCATCACCCCCTCTCATTAGGATAAACAATTGCTTTATAAAGCTGAATCGTTGTGTCACAAGCTTGCCTTCCTCTTTCTTTCCTTCTGAGATATCTTATGAAGACAAACATCTAAGGGATAGAAAAAACAAAAACCCCAGTAGTGAAGAGTTGCTGAACAGTTGACAAATAGACAAATAAATACTGTTAGCCTGGGAATAAACTAGGTGATGGTCAAGATTGTGTGAGTTATTCATTAGAAATGGTGAGAAGCATATCAACTCTAAGTCAGCTGCATACATTATTGCTTATTTTTAATTGCACTGGTTTTATAGACAGTAATTCTTTTTTTTTTCAACGTTTATTTATTTTTGGGACAGAGAGAGACAGAGCATGAACGGGGGAGGGGCAGAGAGAGAGGGAGACACAGAATCGGAAACAGGCTCCAGGCTCTGAGCCATCAGCCCAGAGCCCAACGCGGGGCTCGAACTCACGGACCGCGAGATCGTGACCTGGCTGAAGTCCGACGCTTAACCGACTGCGCCACCCAGGCGCCCCTATAGACAGTAATTCTAAAGCATATTCATAGGCTGAAAAAAAAAGTTTTAAGTTCCTGAAATTCTCTGTAGTTTTTCTGTTCTATGGGAGTATGTTTCCTAGTAATTTTTCTTAGAGATGCTCATGTATTCACTAAAGGTGCCCACTACATATTTGTCTTAGTTTGGGTTCCCCCAGAAGCCAACCCTGAGATAAAAGTTCAATAGCAAGTAGTTTTATGTTTTTGTTTTTATTTGAGAGAAAGAGCAGGGGGAAAGGGGCAGAGGGAGGTCTTCTGTTAAGTTTCTCAGGATCCACATAAGAGTGAAACATATGGTATCTGTCTTTCTCTGCCTGACTTATTTCACTTAGCATAACACTCTCCAGTTCCATCCATGTTGCTACAAAAGGCCAGTTTTCATTCTTTCTCATTGCCACGTAGTATTCCATTGTGTATATAAACCACATCTTATTTTTTTATTAATAATTTATTTTTTAATTTACATCCAAGTTAGTTAGCATATAGTGCAACAGTGATTTCAGGAGTAGATGCCTTAATGCCCCTTACCCATTTAGCCCATCCCCTCTCCTATAATCCCTCCAGTAACCCTCTATTTGTTCTCTATATTAAGAGTCTTTTATGTTTTGTCCCCCTTCCTGTTTTTATATTATTTTTGATTCCCCTCCCTTTTGTATCTTAAATTCCTCATATGAGTAAATTCATATGATACTTGTCTTCCTCTGACTGGCTAATTTCGCTTAGCATGATACCCTCTAGTTCCATCCACATAGTTGTGAATGGCAAGATTTCATTCTTTTTGATTGCTGAGTAATACTCCATTGTGTGTGTGTGTGTGTGTGTGTGTGTGTGTGTGTGTGTACCACATCTTCTTTATTCATTCATCCATTGATGGACATTTGGGCTCTTTCCCTACTTTAGCTATTGTCTATAGTGCTGCTATAAACATTGGAGTGCATGTGCCCCTTTGAAGCAGCATACCTGTATCCCTTGGATAAATATCTAATAGTGCAATTGCTGGGTCGTAGGGTAGTTCTATTTTTAATACAATTAACTGTTTTATTTATTTTATTTTATTTTTAAATATAATTTATTGTCAAATTGGTTTCCATACAATACCCAGTGCTCATCCCAACAGGTTCCCTCCTCAATGCCCATCACCCACTTTCCCCTCTCCCCCACCCCCCATCAACACTCAGTTTGTTCTCAGTATTTAAGAGTCTCTTATGGTTTGCCTCCTTCCCCTCCCCCCCTGGTCTTCTGTTAAGTTTCTCAGGATCCACATATGAGTGAAAATATATGGTATCTGTCTTTCTCTGCCTGACTTACTTCACTTAGCATAACACTCTCCAGTTCCATCCACATTGCTACAAAAGGCCAGATTTCATTCTTTCTCATTGTCAAGTAGTATTCCATTGTGTATATAAACCACATCTTCTTTATCCATTCATCAGTTGATGGACGTTTAGGCTCTTTCCATAATTTGGCTATTGTTGAAAGTGCTGCTATAAACATTGGGATACAAGTGCCCCTATGCATCAGTACTCCTGTATCCCTTGGGTAAATTGCTAGCAGTGCTATTGCTGGGTCATCTATTTTTAATTTTTGGAGGAACCTCCACACTGTTTTCCAGAGCGGCTGCACCAGTTTGCATCCCCACCAACAGTGCAAGAGGGTTCCCATTTCTCCACATCCTTGCCAGCATCTAAAGTCTCCTGATTTGTTCATTTTAGCCACTCTGACCGGTGTGAGGTGGTATCTTAGTGTGGTTTTGATTTGTATTTCCCAAATGAGGAGTGACATTGAGCATCTTTTCATGTGTCTGTTGGCCATCTGGATGTCTTCTTTAGAGAAGTGTCTATTCATGTCTTCTGCCCATTTCTTCACTGGATTATTTGTTTTTTGGGTGTGGAGTTTGGTGAGTTCTGTATAGATTTTGGATACTAGCCCTTTATCCGATATGTCATTTGCAAATATCTTTTCCCATTCCGTCGGTTGCCTTTTAGTTTTGTTGATTGTTTCCTTTGCAGTGCAGAAGCTTGTAATCTTGATGAGGTCCCAATAGTTCATTTTTGCTTTTAATTCCCTTGCCTATGGAGATGTGTCGAGTAAGAAATTGCTGCGGCTGAGGTCAGAGAGGTTTTTTCCTGCTTTCTCCTGTAGGGTTTTGATGGTTTCTTGTCTCACATTCAGGTCCTTCATCCATTTGAGTTTATTTTTGTGTATGGGGTAAGAAAGTGGTCTAGTTTCATTCTTCTGCATGTTGCTGTCCAGTTCTCCCAGCACCATTTGTTAAAGAGACTGTGTTTTTTCCATTGGATATTCTTTCCTGCTTTGTCAAAGATTAGTTGGCCATGCATTTGTGGGTCCCATTCTGGGTGCTCTATTCTATTCCATTGGTCTATGTGTCTGTTTTTGTGCCAGTACCATACTGTCTTGATGATTACAGCTTTGTAGTAGAGGCTAAAGTCTGGGATTGTGATGCCTCCCACTTTGGTTTTCTTCTTCAGTATTACTTTAGCTATTCAGGATCTTTTGTGGTTCCATACAAAGTTTAGGATTGCTTGTTCTAGCCTTGAGAAGAATGCTGGTGCAATTTTGATTGGGATTGCATTGAATGTGTAGATTGCTTTGGGTAGTATTGACATTTTAACAATATTTATTCTTCCAAGCCATGAGCACGGAATGTTTTTCCATTTCTTTATATCTTCTTCAATTTCCTTCATAAGCTTTCTATAGTTTTCAGCATACATATCTTTTACATTTTTGGTTAGGTTTATTCCTAGGTATTTTATGATTCTTGGTGCAATGGTGAATGGGATCAGTTAATTTTGTAGTATTATTGAGGTACAATTGACATACAACAAACTGCACGTATAAAAAGTGTAAAGTTTAAAGAATTTGACATGTTCGTACACATCAGTGACTCTTACCTGTAGTAATTATTGCTGTGGTATTCTAAGGGTGATCTTCTATTTTTCTCATTCTACACGTTAATTGAAATTCTTGTATAAGGAATATTTGTTTCTTCCCCATTCAATGATTTATATCAGTTTGAACTCATGGATATTTATTTTATTCTTTGGGCTATGATCCAGTCCAATCAGTATTTATTTTGTTGTTCAAATTGACTCATTTTTGGCAATTTGAACCTCTTTCAGGTTGACTCCAGTGTCCTTCTGACTTCTTTTTTTCTTTTTTTTAGTGTTTGTTTATTTTTGAGAGAGAGCACAAGCAGGGGATGGGCAGAGAGAGAGGGAGACACAGAATCTGAAGCAGGCTCCAGGCTCTGAGCTGTCAGCATAGAGCCTGACGTGTGGCCCAAACTCAGAGACCATGAGCTCATGACCTGAGCTGAAGTCGGATGCTTAACCGACTGAGCCACCCAGGTGACCCTCCTTTTTTCTTTGTTAGTACCTCTGTTTCTTTTGAGTGTCTGATGTACAACATAACAAGTTGTGAATGTCTCTTTATGGATTAATATTAAGCTTGGCTGAATGCAACAACAAACTCTAAGTAACAGTGTCTTAAGTGAGATCAAGTTTTATTTTTCTCTTTATATACCATGTTCATGAATCAGAAGGATCAAAATTCTTAGGTTGTCAATGCTTCTCAAATTACTGTGCTTCTCAAAGCAATCCCAGTCAAAATCCTGTAATTCTTATTTGTAGAAACTGACAGGCTGACTCTAAAATTTACATGGAAAATTAAGGAAACCAAAATAGCCAAGACAGTTTGGAAAACAAAAAGGTCAAAGTTTGAGGACTCTCATTATCCACTTAGAAGAAGACTTACTGTAAAGCTACAGTAATCAAGACAGCATGGCATTGGCATAAAGATAGACCTCATCAGCAGAACAAAATATAGTGTCCAGAAATAGTCCATTGTGTGTATATATGGTCAATTAATTTTTAACAATAGTGCCGTGGTAATTCAATGTGGAAGGAGGATAGTCTTTCAATAAATGTTGCTAGAACAACTGGATAACCATATGCATAAAAGTGAACTTTAACCTTTACCTTGTAACACATAAAAAATAAATTTGAAATATATCACGAATTCACATTTAAGCATTACAACTATAAAAATTCTAGAAGGAAACATAAGAAAAAATCCTTGGGGGTAGGCAGTGTATTCTTAAATAGGACACAAAATGCACAAATCATAGAAGAAAAATATGCTAAATTGAACTTCATCAAAATCAAACACTTCTGTTTTTTTAAAGACACTGTTGAGAAAATGGCAAACTGCACTTTAGGAGAAAATGTTTACAAAGCCCATATCTCATGAAGGACTTCTGTCTTAAATACAACTCAAAACTAAGAAGACAATTAACTAAAACATGGGCAAAAGATTTTAACATAAACTTCACAAAGAGATACAGATGACATGTAAACACATGAAAAGATGCTCAACATTATTAATCACTAGAGAAATGCAAATTAAAACTGCAATGAGATACCATTGCACACCGATTAGAATGCGTAAAATGAAAATTTCTGACATCATCAAGTGCTGACAAGAATGCAGAACAGTTGGAACTCCTATACATTGCTTCTGGGTAAAAATGGATTTGGCAGAATCATAATACTAAACTTATCATACCACCCATCAATACCACTCAGGAGAAATGAACTATGTCCATACAAGGACTTGTACACAAATAGTGTAGCTTTATTTATAATTACCAACACTGGAGACACTCCAAATACCCATCAGGTGGTAAATGAAGAATAAACAAATTGTAAAAACTGAGCCACAAAAAGGCATGAACTACTGACATGTGCAATGACATGGGTGAATCTCAAAAGCATTATGTTAAGTGATAACAGCCAAACACAAGAGGCTACATATTGTATGATTCCAATTATGTGACATTCTGGATAAGGTAAATTATTTGGACAGAAATCAAATCAGTGATCACTCACGGCTAGAGATGGGGGAAGGGATTAAATGCAAAGGAACATGAGGGAACTTTTTCAGGTGGGATGGAAGTGTTCCACATCTTGAATGTGATGGTGGTTACATGACTGTATAAATTTGTCAAAACTCATTGAACTGTGCACGTGAAAAGGGTGAAGTTTATATTATACAATAAACCTGGCTTTAAGGAAATGAATTTTATTTTCCTCTCAGGTAAAAGAAGGTAATAGGCCAGGAAGTAATAGGCTAGGGCTAGCATAGTGGCTTCATGTTGTCACAGGAATCCTGGTGAAGATCATGCTGTTTTATAATTCTTAGCATGTGGCTTCCTTTTTTTAGGTCACCTTATGGTCCAGTATGGTGGCTTGGATCTCCAGTCATCACATTCATATTCAGGCAGTAGGAACAATAAAGAAGTAATTAAGGGAAATACTGTTCTTTTAAAGAGACTTCCTATTAGCCATGCATATATCCTTTTACATTTCATTGGCCAATACTTAGTCATTTGGATATATCTGATTGCAAGAGAGGCTGTAGAAATGTAAGCTTTAAGCAAGACCATGGTTATAGTAAATAAAATTGAGATTCTGTTACTAAAAATAAGACTATGATGGGAGTTGGGATAGGCAAACAACAGTGGCTGTCATAGGCTCATGTAAGTTGTAAATCTGCCATAGATTGCCAGTCCCCAAGCAAACAGTTGTACCTGGTTCACTCTTTCGTTCTCAAGGAAATGTGTTTCTCTTTCCTTAAAAAACTCCAATGCCTCCTTGATGTACATAAGCCCCTCTTTAAGGGAGTTACATAAATAAAACATGTCTTAAGATTGAGGGCAGAGGCATCAGTGAACTGCTGGGATTAATGCTAATGTATGAATGTTCATACGTGCACATTAAGTTACCAACTCACAGAATGCACTCTTTCCTATGATTCTTCTATACTTCATTCTTTTTTTAATGTTTATTTATTTTTGAGGGGAGGGGCAGAGAGAGAGGGAGACACAGAATCCAAAGCAGGCTGCAGGCTCTGAGTTGTCAGCACAGAGCCCGACACGGGCCCGAACTCACAAGCTGTAAGATCATGACCTGAGCTGATGTCAGATGCTTAACTGACTGAGCCACCCAGGTGCCCCCACTTACTTCATTCTTTAACATTATTCTAATGATTAAGAAATGATCATCCATGATTAACATTATCAGTAAGCTAGAGTTTACCTATTAAAGACTAAAAATTTAATTGAGCAAGATAGAGTAGCCAACAGAAAAATTGCCAACACTTTAAAAAACACCTGTAAAGTTTACCAAGTACCTTTACACCCATTTCCCCATATATCTTCCTCATACTCTACCATTTTTCAGGGCCTAGAGGCTATAGGCAGTTGAACAAATTTTCACCAGAAAGATACTGAGGCAGAGACATTTTTTCCCCCACGAATGATGTAATCTAGTCAGAGCATGTGATCTTAAACTGCTCTGAAGAAAATGACTAGTTTTCTGGAGGACAATCCTTGGAATGAAAACTGGAGTTTCCATTACTGCTTTCCATACTGCAAACTGTTCCCCTCTGAGAGGGAAGAATTGATCATTTCTCTTTTGAAAAAAAGACCTGGTAATTTTTGACCTTGAGTTTCTGTTGTCTGATCTGCTGGCTGTTTCCCTAAAAGATAGAGGCTGTTTTGAGTGTGCATGATCTAATGTACTTGTTGACTTTCATACCAGATATTCATTTCATAACTGACACAAATCTAAAGTAGCTCCTTAGCCCAGAGAAGGTAGAGCAAACTCTTCCACTTGTTAAGAGGGAGAGAAGGAAAGTGGTACTGGCACAAAAAACTAGTAGATATGTTTGAGGTCCAGGTCCTACAGGGGTCTGATCAAAACAACATGTATCAGCTAGCTTTTGCCACAACAGGGATATATAATAGAGTAGCTTCAAATTCACTGGCTTAAATCATTTGTTCTTGTTCACACACCTGTGGATTGGCTGACATTTGGATGATATAGACCAAGCTTGGCTGAACTTGGCTCCAAGCTCTAGGTTGAGTCCAGGTTGGCCTTCTATGTCTCTTTTGTTTCTTGGACCAGCAAACTAGCTGCACATGTTCTCATGGTGATGGCAGAGGCACAAAAAGACTGAGTGGAAACATCGACTTCTTTGTGATCTAAGCTCAGAACTGGCACCCTCATTTTTGTCCACATTCCACTTGGCCAAAGAAAGCTATATAGCTAAGCAACATCATCAGTGGATTGGAGAAATATACCAAACCTCTAGATGGAAGTGCTGCAAAGTCACAGGGCAGACTGAGTGCATGGATAGTGAGAGGGGTGGATATTGGAAACAAAATGCAGTCTTCCACAGCTATATACCTACAACAGCCATCTTTACTTTTATACCTTTAGCTACTCTATCTCACTCCTTCCTAAGATTGTAGGCACTCTTTAAAAGTGAGCTGCCTGGGTGTATGTCACTGGGGACATTGGAGCAAGGACCTCCAAAAATCCTTTCCTATGTAAAAACTGTAAGAATACTAGCAAAAATGGTCAGAATCAATTTCTTCAGAACTCTGGAAATTAGCCAAAAGCTTATGGCAATCCAGGAAGCTATATAGGAGCAAAGTTTTTATATACTGTTGAAGTTAAGTTGGTATTAATCCAAGCCAGTTTGTTATAAATTAACATTTTAATTATAATTCCCAGGGTAATCACTAAGAAAATAACTCAAAAATATAATAAAGGAATTAAAATAGTACGTTAAATATATCTATTTAACACAAAGGAAGGCAGTAATGGAGGAATATAGAAATAAAAGTGACAATTCAGATAGAAAATAAATAGCAAAATTGGAGGTGTAGATCCTATATTATTAAATATAAATGTGTTAGACAAAGGGCAGAGATTGGGATAATAGATA